TCCAAGAAGAACGGAGCTGCGGCTGGTGAACCCGAGGGCAGCCCTGGCAATCGCCCGGACGAGCCCTTGTCCGAGGGTGACGAGGATGCTGCAGCGGCCGTAACAGCCACACTGGCGGGTCCCAGCACTGCTAGCGCCGGGTCCTTCGTCATAAGCTCCCTCCTTCAAGTTCTGGCAGCCAATGTGCAGCACCTCATCCAGGTACAGTGCCTCTTGCTCGATGGTTGCTTTCGACACTCCCCGACAAAGCTGGCATGTTGTGTGCAGGTGCTCTCGCCCGAGGAAGCCAGCAAAAGCTTTGGGCTCGTGCTTCTGGACATACGGGACCTTGTCCTCCGGCTTGCGCTGGGCCGAGTGCTGCCGCAACCCACAACGACCACCACTACCACGACCACCGCACCCGTTTCACAGACCGGAGAAAAGCGGCCGGGAGACAAAACGCACGATCGGGTCGTGCAGGCCGACGCCCGGCGCTGCTTGCTGGTGGGCCTGCCCATCTTCTACCCGACGCACGACAAGCAGGTCCAGTTCCTGCACGAACTGCTGGCCATTCTCCAAGTGGAGGAGGAGAAGACGTCCCTCGCAACGGAGGGCCAAACGCCGCACCACACTGCGCACAGCCACCTCCCAAGCCCTGCGAGGCTCCTCCTCGACGACCTGCTCGAGAAGCTCTCCCAGGAGCTTGCCCTCGGCCTGGGCGACATGCTCTTCGCTCCGATCCTGTCGGAGGTCGAAGCCACCGGGGCGCAGCGCAAGGAGCGCGGGGCCGCCGACGCTGAGCCATCGAGTACCGCGGAGGCCATGGATCGGGCGGTTGTCACGAGCGAGTCCTCGGAGAAGCTGGTGCGCGACCTGATCGAGCTCGCCGTGGGGCTGATGAAGAAGAGCAGCGAGGATGCCAAGGTGAGGAAGACCCGCATGGAGCAGGAGGTCAGATCGCTGTTGCTCGACACCGAGGGCTCGCCGGTCGGACCGACGGCTGCCGAGGAGGCGCGCACAATCTACAACGTGCTTCTCGCCGTGCAGAGGGACCTGCTCAGCTCTATCGGCTTCTCCCCCAGCATCGAGTCCTCTGGAGAAGAAGAGGAGGAACCCGCCATCGCCGAGTCTGGTGGTACGAGCCCCAAGCCCTACCAGCCGCTGCCGCCACGCTTGACTCTCACCTTAGCTTGATTTTATCCCGTCTGGTACAGAGGTCAAGCGGCTGCTGCGCTGGACGAGCCTTATGATCCAGAAGAGCATTGAGATGGTGGGGCTGGTGCTGCCCCGTTCCGCGTTGCGTGAGGGCGAGGCCACCATCAAACCCGACGATCAGGTGCGTGCGCTTTTCGTTTAGCTGGCCAGACTTCATTTTTGACTGGTCTCTCTCCTCCCCCTCTTTCTTTTCTTGCCTCCAGATTCGCGCTCACTACTTCGTCGTCCGCTTGGGAGCCCTGCGCGATTCTCTGTTTGGTGTGGTCCTGCCGCCGCTGGTCACTTCGCTGTACCATTTCGCCGATCGACCGGATTTCGTGGACGTCCTGCCGGCTCTCCTGCAGCTCTTGTGGGAGCTGGACGAGATGAACAAGTTCTTCGTGGCCAGCAAGGCCGCCTTCAAGAATCTACACCTCGCGCAGGAGGCCGACAAGCAGAAGAGAAGGCAAGAAGCAGCAGCGATTGCTCAGCTCGCTGCGATTGAAGCCTCCCGCACGCCCTCCACCAAGGATCGCAAGGCCAGGGGTACTGCCCTCCCCCTTTCTCGTGCAATTACGTCCATAACCAACATTCCCTGTGCGCCAGGCGGAAGAAGAGCCAGACGCCGGTGCTGGCATCGCCTCTCGTGTCCCGTGCGGAAGCGTCACTCCCGGAGGCCGAAGATGAGGTGGAGGCGCCGGTGAGCTATCCCTTCGCCTGGCTTCTGGAGCTGGAGAAGACGCTGGGCACCGTCTGCGGCATGCTCTCGAGCAGCCTCATGGCAGGGACGCCGGAGACCAGCCAGGAGCGGCCCTACCTCTCGCACCTGCGCTCCGACCTGTTCTCGGCTGGCCTGGAGGACAGCGAGGACGAAGCGCTCGTTGATGCGTCCGCCACCGAAGGCATGGACGTGGACGAGGGCGCCAGCAAGACTGCGCCGCAGGGCGACTTCTTCAAGCGCCTCATGGCCGTCGATGAATCGGACGACGAGCTGGGGCCGCTCGTCAAGTGGATCAGTGCGGCCGGGCCGCGTTTGCCCATTCCCGCGCAGGCGGAGAAGGCGGTGGCATCGGCGGTGCGTGGTACCTTCGCCGCCGTCGTCAAGCATGCCAACCTCGAACCTCAGCTCGTCGAGTGGGCCTCGCAACTGCGCACCGCCGCCCAGAAGCGCATGGACCTCGACGCCAAGGAGGGCGACAGCGACGACAGTGACGACCCCCCTCCTGCCCCCCTTCACCGCCGCCCTCGCTGCAATCGCTCCTGTCCACGGCTGGCTCGATCCGTCTGTGGATCATGCAGCAGCAGCAGACCATCATGAGCCAAGCCGTGCAGAAGCACG